TCTAATAATACTCTTAATATTTAGTTGTAGTAAGAAAGATCCTCATAAATAATGTTGTTGAATATGTACACACTACAAAATTCAGAGTTGATTTAATGGATTCAATTATGGACAAGCGAACAACTGGGTTAAAATTTGTATTTAAAAATGAAAAGTTTGTAAATATTTGGCCCAGATGTCATAACTTCTTACCAAACACTTCAGGTCATAATTGTGAAAAAACATAAAATCCAACACATTTATTGTCCATATTTCAGAGCCAGTGCCAGCAGGAGCTTGACCAGGTGCTGGAAAGGATCTCAAAAATAACTTTCAAAGATAACAGGACTCCCCTGGAAGACCTTTATTCCCTGCACATACCCAACTGTGACAAGAGGGGGCAGTACAACCTGAAACAGGTATTTAATTCAATACTCTGCAGATCAAAACATTTTGTCACATTTGTAAACGTTTGCCATATCTGAATATAAACCAATAAATCTAAACCTATTTTAAGTAGATTTGTGTTATTTATTCATTTTCATTATTGTTAATGTGCAAGCAAGCAGCCTTTTAAACCATGGCCTGCTATTAATAAACTACTCATGATTTGTTTACCAACTTTAAAATTCATGGCAGGATCCTTTACCTTCTGAAAACTGATTAAAATTGTATTCATATAAGCTACATTTATATACATATACAAATAAAAATCACTTCTGTCACTTCTGAACAATTCTATCATTATTTACTCACCTTCATGTTTTTTCCAAACCCATAGGAAATGTGTTCACCTTCAAAACATGAATAAAAGGCATTGTAATCAAATCTGAGATATTTATATGTCTTTTGTAAATTAACCTACCGGCAGTGGCGCAGTAGGTAGTGCTGTCGCCTCACAGCAAGAAGGTCGCTGGGTCGCTGGTTCGAACCTCGGCTCAGTTGGCGTTTCTGTGTGGAGTTTGCATGATGCCGGTTTCCCCCAAAGTCCAAAGGTTGAATAATAATTGGGTTGAATAATAATTGATGGGTTGCGGCTGGAAGGGCATCCGCTGCGTAAAAACTTGCTGGATAAGTTGGTGGTTCATTCCGCTGTGGCGACCCCGGATTAAAAAGCCGACAAGAAAATGAATGAATGAACCTTGTGTTGACTGACTCTCATGTGTGTTTCAGTGTAAGATGTCAGTGAATGGCTATCGTGGCGAATGCTGGTGTGTAAATCCACACACAGGACGTCCCATGCCCACCTCTCCACTGATAAGAGGTGATCCAAACTGCAACCAGTATCTTGACGGTCAAGAGATGGATCCATCTGTCGACCCTCCAAACTAGAAGTGTCCCGAACCTTCCCATCCCTTACCCTCTTGCCCTTTAAGCCCCTAGAGGAGTCAGTGTTTTAAACTCTCTAAACAAGCTACAATTATATCTTAAGTGTGTGTAGACATGTCTGCGCTTGTAGGTTTGAGAAACTTTACACAAAACAGTATTGTTACAGTTCATGTACTGCTCTATCTGAACTGATCCTACCCATTAAATCTAAGCTAAGAGATTAAATATGACCAGAGGACTGATGTTAGCAGGCTGATACTACTAATACTACTTGTCCTATAGAAAATTAACAAGAGATGTGTTTTTAACACTTTCACATACTTACAGTAGTAGGTATCTTGTGCTAAACATGATGTACACTGTTATTCTTCTTTCACGAAGTTGCTGGTGCTATTTGTTTCAATACAGAAAGTAGGGTGCACTTTTCACACTGCACAGAACATGGTAAGGAAAGGGTTTGTTTTGGATAGGACAGTGTTCTGCTAATAAACTAGTAAGCTAGTGCCTTCCTTCAAATGGGCTACACCGTTTGTAATAATTCATTTGAGGTTCTGTTACAATTGCAAGTAACTACTTCCACCTGGTGGTGACACTAAGGAAGAGAATGCATAATTCTGCATAAAACCTGCTGCAGAAGTGTTAAACAGATTTGCTCCTAACTGTTAACTATTTCAACTACACATTGTGGTTTGTGCAAACTGAATAAACAGTTTAATCTTTCTGTTAGATGCCATTGTCGCTTGCTATTTTGGACCCTGTGTTTTTCATGTACAAAAATAAAGAAGTTATTTCAAGATGTTATATGCATTGAGAAACTAAATGATTTTTCTGTTTTTATGAAGTGAAGTCAGAAAGCACAATAACTAAAACTGGAATACATAAAATATGTGAATAATTAATAAAAAATATTTTGCACAGCTTTACCAAAAATGTATATACAGTTGAAGTCAGAATTATTAGCCCTCCTTTGATTTTTTTTCTTTTTTAAATATTTCCCAAATTTTGTTTAACAGAGCATGATAATGATAAGAGCTGATAATGTTTTTTTTTTCTTCTGGAGAAAGTCTTGTTTGTGTTATTTTAGCTAGAATAAAAGCAGCTTTTAATTATTTTAGAAACATTTTAAGGTCAAAATTATTAGCCCCTTTAAGCTTTTTTTTTTTTTGATAGTCAACAGAACAAACCATCATTATACAGTAACTTGCCTAATTACGCTAACCTGCCTAGTTAACCTAGTTAAGCCTTTAAATGTCACTTTAAGCTGTATAGAAGTGTCTTGAAAAATATCTAGTAAAATATTATTTACTGTCATCATGGCAAAGATAAAACAAGTCAGTTATTAGAAATGAGTTATTAAAACTACTATGTTTAGAAATGTGTTGAAATACTCTCTCAACAGAAATTGAGGGAAAAAATAAACGGGGGGGGGGGGGGGGGGGGTGTGTGGTGGGGTGGATAATAATTCTGACTTCAACTGTATACTTAATTTATGCACAAGTTAAATATTTGACATTACTCACCATAGTGTGTTCATCTCAAACTGTATTTGATAAAGCACATCACACAGACACAAAACGAAACAGACTTTCTTACAATATGTAAGATTCTGGAAACAAGAAATCCCTGCAACTGAATAGCTTTATGTTTATATATTTATTAAATAAATGTTTTGTCTTTTCAAAAGAGACAAGAATAAGATTATTTAAATTACATGGTGAATAAATATTGCACACAGATATGTAGATGTCAAACTAAGAATTTGACCACCCGTGTTACTTGATTTGGGCTCAGCTTAAATGTGCTTAAATAAAGCCTTAAACTGAAAAAAAAATGGAGACAGTCAACCGATTTTAAATAAAAAAACAAGAAAAAAAACACAATTAATAAGTTGGAAGGGTTTGCCACACTGGTCTGCTTTGCTTTTTTTGTTGTCTCATTACAGTGAGCCTAAATCCCCAACATGGAGCGGTATCATTCAGAATCCATTGTTCATAAACTTTGAGGATTATAGCTAAAATAAAGTCAATCTGGTTTAGATGTCATGTTAATGCTTATGACAGAGGATTTTCTACAGTTCTACAAACAGAAAACAATTCTGCCGTCATCCTCTGATCCAACACACAAGCAATCCAAATAATCACATAAGCATGAAGAGCATTTTTGTTACTATAAAAAGAGGAACACTGATTGCACTAAATTCTACTCTGTGAGCCAAACCCTAATAGTACCTTTGGTGCCCTATTACTAGTCATTTTCATGATGTAAATAATCTCAATTTGCCTGCTTTTTGAGAACATTGAATTTGCTGTTTTGAATCTACAGTCCTGCAAGCTGAAGGTCAGCATTTGGAGTGTTTGTGTTTTGCCTTTGTGGCCCCTTTGATGCCTGTGATGTAAATCACTATTCAAATATTTGAGTAGAAAAAGGCACTGACATTTCCATAAGAACCCAAGGACCCTGATCTGTTAAACCTTCAAAACAATTACAAAAATTACTGACAGCCTGGCTTGTCAGCATTGCTCATTCTTTCATATTCTGTAGTCATTCACATAAACAGTCATAGCTTATGGTGAATTTCTGCTTATTTTTCTTTCAGGTATATATATTTTTTCTTTTGTAGTGCACAACCAGTGGTTGTTGGAAAATAAAGTTTAATTTAAGGTGGCACAATAACATGAGAAAAAAGACAATAAGCTAATTTCTTATAATCTTTGGAAAGGTTTGTACAAAACTAAAGTGTGTGCGTGCACTGTACTCTTTAGTAAGTAAGTGCTGTGTCATGGACAAATGCTCTGTCATATTAAAGGGACAGTTCAACCAATGAAAATTCTGTTCACTCAACCTGATTTTATCCATTTCTTTTTTCTGAGGAGCTACAGTTGCAATCAGAGTTATTAAACCCCCTTTTTAATTTTTTTTTTAAAAATATTTCCCAAATTATGTTTAAAAGAGCAAGGACATTTTCACAATATGTCTGAATATTTTTTCCTCTGGAGAAAGTCTTATTTGCTTTATTTTGGCTAGAATAAAAGCAATTAAACATTTTAAATAAAACATTTTAGGGTTAATAGTATTACCCCCTTTTAAGCAATTTTTTGACAGTCTACAGAACAAACCATAGAATAACTTGCCTAATTACCCATCTTGCCTAGTTAACCTAATTAACCTAGTTAAGCCTTTAAATGTCACTATAAGCTGCATAGAAGTCATCACCTTAGAATTATAAGGTTCTATCTGACATTTTTGTCAAAATTGAGTTATTGACAAATTCTTATTAAATGGCAACTTATTTACATTATGGGATTATTTTTTATAAGTTTACATTTTAAGACATTTTATTTAAAAAATAATAATTTACCCACATACTATTTGCTATGAAATGCAAAAACCTTGAAGCTCAATTTCTTAAAATCATTTAGAATGCAGGTAGAACCTTATAATTCCCAGGTGACAAAGTGTCTTCAAAAATATGTAGTCAAATAGTATTTAGTGTCACCATGGCAAAAATAAAATAAATCAGTTATTAGAAAAGTATTATTAAAACGATTATGTTTAAAAATGTGTTTAAAAATGTGCAAAAATCTTTTCTCCGTTAAACAGAAGTTGTGGAAAAAATAAACAGGGGGGGTAATAATTCAGGGGGTTTAATAATTCTGATTGCAACTGTAAAATGAATAATGTTTTTCTTTCTCTGCATGAAATAAAATAGGTTCCGGTGTTGTTTTTGACCCCACCATCATTCACTATATGAACAAAACACTTAACATTTAAAATCTCTTATTTTGTGTTACACAGAATAAAAAGAATGTTACAGAGCAATATGAGGGTGAGTTAATAAAATCCTTTTCATTTTTGGACAAATCATCCCTAATCTCTATCCCTAATCTCATAAAAACTAATACAAGTTTCCAAGGTCTCTAAAATATAGTGTGTATATATAAGATATGTAAGGGATAGTTCACCCAAGAAATTATCATTTACTCAATATTTACTTCCTCTTAAGTGGTCCCAAACCTTCACATGTTTTTTTTTCTTTTTCTTTTTCTGTTGAACACACAAGGCGATATATTGAATAAAGCTAAAAACCTAACTTCTATAGAACACAAGCTGTCATTTGGGTGGTAACTTTTCAAAAGATACACATTTGTACTTAAAGGATCCATTTTGGTACCTCAAAAGTAAATATTAGCAACTAAAAATTTTAGGAGGTACACTTTTGTACTCTTTAGCTACTAATATGTACCCTTGAGGTATTAATATGGACATTTCAGGTACAAATTTGTACCTTTTGAAAAGGTACCACCATAGTGAGTGTAGGACAAACAAATATTACAGTGGTCAGCGGATACAGGTTTCTGACTTTCTTCAGAATATCTTCTTTTAAATTCGAAAGAAGAAAAAATTAATAAAAATTTGGAACAAACAAAGGTTGAGTAAATGATGAGAGAATTTTGAGTTTTGGGCGAGCTATCCCTAAGTCCATGATCCCATTGACACAAGAGGAAGAATTTAGTAACTAAAGCTTGTCTTCTGCATATCCTCTTTCAGAGTATACTAAAGCATTTCACAAACAAATGTCAGACTCTTTAAGATTAAGATTAGAAATGATTGGCAAATCACATAATAAAGTAGATGAGAGTGTATGATGCTTTTACGTGATCGAATTTAAGTAGTCTCATTCGTTGTTGTTGCTGTGGCTTTCAACTTCTTTACACTGGATGTTGCCTCCATTAAAGTCAGTGCCCGGCATTTGAACTCCATGCTTGTCTACACACCAGCAGATGCCCCGCTTGCGCCCCCTAGAGGGCTTACACTGTGACATAAACCAAAAATGGACAAAGCAAAGTAAGCAAAGTAACATGACCCTGCCCTCAGCCAAGAGCCAAGTGTTTATAGGAAAGAAAACTTTCCGACAACTAAGCTTGCCAGTAGCTGTCATCTATAAACATGCTGAAGTGCAGAACTAACCTGTTTGCGCTTGAAGAAGCCTTTCTTGTCACAGTTAGGTAGGTATAAAGAAAGAGCCATCACTCTGGAAGTGTCCTTCATCCTCTGTACAATTCCATCTAGCTTTCTTCGGCATGGACCCTACAGTTAGCAAACATGCTATTAACAGAACACTCTGGAAAAGGTGTCAGGAATGAATATAAACAAAATGAAAATGTTACAATTGTTTTTTTTTTTTTTTTCTAATATCAGATTGATGCTTATAAAGAAACCTACAATGTCAGACTGATGTTTTTCCATTCCAAAAAGTGAGTAGTCAACATGGCTCCTGGTCCGGAGCTTAGCTTGTTGTCTCTTCCGATCCTTTCGCATGGCCTGAGCCTTCTTGCTGTTAATATGATCTCGCTGGAATAATGGAACCTTGGCCTGAGGAAGCAGATCCTCTGTTACCTCTGAAACCATGCCATCTTCATCTGACTCTTGATCTGAAAAGAGGACAATGGTAAAATGTAATGGTACACTAAAAGCCTAGAGAGATTAATAGTTAATGGATCAACAGTTTAAAATTTCGGTAACACTTTATGTGAAGGCGGTAAAATAAAATAAAAAAACCTGAAAAAATCACATGTACATAAGTATTTACAGCCTTTGCTCAATACTTTGTTGATGCATCATTGGTAGCAATTACACCCTTAAGTTAACTCAACTTTTTGAATATGATGCCACAAGCTTGGCACACCTGTCTTTGGGAATTTTTGCCCATTCCTCTTTGCAGTACCTCTCAAGCTCTATCGGGTTGGATGGGAAGTGATTGTGTACAGCCATTTTCAGATCTCTCCAGAGATGTTCCATAGGAGTTAGGCCTGGCTCTGACTGGGCCACTCAAGAACATTCAGGCCGGGACACTCAAGGACAGTTGTTGTGAAGCCACTCCATTGATATTTTGGCTGTGTGCTTTGAGTCATTTTACGGCTGGAAGACGAACCATCGCCCTAGTCTGAGATCAAGAGCACTCTGAAGCAGGTTTTCATATAGGATGTCTCCATACATTGCTGCATTCATCTTTCCCTCTATCTTGACTTGTCTTCCAGTTTCTGCTGCTGAAAAGCTGCCAGCACTATGCTTCACTGTAGAGATGGTATCAGCCTGGTGATGAGCGGTACCTGCTTTTCTCTAAATGTAACGCCTGACATTCACTCCAAAGAGTTCAATATTAGTCTCATCAGACCAGAAATATTTGATTTTTATGGTCCGAGAGTCCTTTGGATGCCTTTTGGCAAATTCCAGGCAGGGAGTGGCTTCCGTCTGGCCACTCTAGCATGCAGGCCAGATTGGTGGATTGCTCCACAGATGGTTGTCCTTCTGTAAGGTTCTCCTCTCTCCACAGAAGAGCGCTGCAGGTCAGACAGAGTGAGCACGATGTTATTGATCACCTCTCTGACTAAGGCCCTTCTCCCCCAATCACTAAGCTTAGATGGCCGGCCAGCTCAAGGAAGAATCCTGGTGGTTCCAAAAATCTTCCACTTACAGATGATGGAGGCCACTGTGCTCAATGGAACTTTCAGAGCGGCAGAATTTTTTCTGTAACCTTCCCCAGCCTTGTGCCTCGATACAATCCTGTATTTGAGGTCTACAGACAATTCCTTTGTCTTCATGCTTGGTTTGTGCTTTGACATGCACTGTTAACCCTGGGAACTTATATAGACAGGTGTATGCCTTTTCACCACTGAAAATTAATCACCACTACTTCACCACTGAAAATTAATTTTTGAAAACTACATCATAATCATCTAGGTGTAATCTAAAAACCGTACATTTGAAAAATCATTGATGTCATGCATGTGTATTATGTCTTCAGTTAATAGAAACACAAGAGTACTTGATAATCAAACCAATAATAGCAGCCTGAATGGCTGTGTTTCTGTGTAGAACAATGAGTATAGTACATAGTTGAGGTGTAAATGTACTCAGAAATCCATCCAGAAACAACAGATCAACATGATTGTGTCTGTAGCTGTTTGCTTCATCAAGGTCAAGTTCTCATTATCACATTATACAACTAACTGTCTTAGCAGAAACCAATCAAGTATGGCCAAAAAAAAAAGGAAATTGCACTGAAATATCAGTGGCCGTAATGTACCCTCAAGAAGTTAATTGTTTGTATGTTTGTTTGTTTGTTTAGTTACACTTTCACTCGTCATAGAATAAAATCAAGCTTAAATTCTAAACAGTTTGAACTCAACCACCCACTCTGTCTTTAATTGAAAGTAGAGATGCCAGATGCCAACTTCAATTTGCCTGGTCTATACCCTCTTCCTCTCTCTCTCACACACACGTCACTACGCTGCCCAGCTGTACAGTGAGTAATCAGATTCATGGGCTTGACCCTTTCCTCGCCCCTCTGTGTATTCTTTGGAAGAAGCTAAGCAGGAGAGGTCACAACAGATAAGCAAATCTCCCAAGCCATTTGTGACAACGTCACAGACAACATTGTGTTTCCACGTCTTTCTTAATCTGTTTTTTTATCATCTGGCATGCATTGGTTAACCGGATGCTATATTTGAGGGATATTGTGTTTTATTTTAGTGGTGTTAGTGCATTCAGTGCACTTGCAAGTCTGGTAATCTGCGGGTATTGTTCTGGGAATGCATGCTAATCTGAGATCTATGTGGCCCTGAGAGAGGAGGTGTGCTAATTCTTTCTCTTTTGGCTTTGTCTTCTCAATGTCTTCTGTTACATACTGTAAAACATGCCTTTTACTGTCTCAATTGTACACTACAAAGGTGGCACCACTACTCATTATCCTTAGGCTTAGTCACTGATTTATCAGGGGTCACCACAGTGCTAAGGTGGCACCAAAGCAATGTATTCATACAAACTGTTTAAAGAAAGTCCAACACATGACAAGCATACATTAAAACAAAAAGGTTTTGTCGCCACAAATATCAATTATACCACAAAATTTGGCATATTTTGTTCAATAAGGAGTTAATTTTAGTTTAGTTATAACCACATTTTATAAAATTGTGGCAGTGTTTTATAAGTTTGTGCCCTCAATGTGAGAATATTTTACTAAATGTAATGTTTAGACATATCTATATTGCAACAATTCTAGGACTCAAGAAATACAGAACTCAATCAAATTTCTCCATCTTTAAAGGTAGCCATGTCACATCACAAATATGTTGTTGAATAGTATTTAATTATTTGCGGACACTGCATCCCGTTTTGGATGCCAGACATTAGGGCTGCACGATATATCGTTTCGGCATCTATATCACAATGTGTGTGTCCCCAATAGTCACATTGCAAGATATGCAATGTTAAATTGGGATTATAGTCGATCAACAATTGAGCATACATGAGATTTATGGAGTCACTGCAATGTATAACCATAACAGACTGAAACTTTTTTATTTGCTTGTGTTTTAAAGGCATTTCAAGAAAGCATCAAGCATTAAGGCACAATAACATAAAACATGTGTAACTTTAATGTAGAATAATTTACTGATTAATTAATACAATGACGACTATATTTTACATGACGAAATTTCTGTATATGAATACTGTTTAACTCTCCAGGAAAACCTTAAAGAACTGTTTATTTACCTTTTTATTTGCTCTTTTGTAATTATTCTTGCAATTTTATCTTTTTTTTTACATGATTTACACCCTTACAAAATCAACTCAATCAATCTAAATGACTGATTTTTCACAAATGGAGTTATTCAAGCCATCTAGTAAAATTGTTGTCATATGGCAATATGTATCGCAGCAAAACAAAATATCGCAATGTAAGATTTTTACCAACATAATTCCATTCCATTATAGTGTTTTTTTTTACTTTTAGTACTTAGGGGAATATCTATAGTATACTATCATTATGCAGAATTGCATTTTCACATATAATTTGGGTTTGCATTTTTTGAATGCTGCCTCATTTTTCCAACTCTTTTTCTATGTGAACATTGCTAAGCCTTCAATTTAGAGCTACCTTTTTACAGACTTGCAAGATGAATTCAGAATGAAATAGCTGCAGCAGCTGTTTTCAGTAAATGTGATGAGATCGCATAAGCACAGTCATAAGGGTGCTGACAGAGTTAATCACATATTTTTTTATACAGCTGAAAAAAGGCAGGGGAAAGCTAATGCCCGTGAAACACTGTGTGTTCAAGAGAATAGATCATAGAGAGATAGATCCAAGGGTGTGTAGGTGGAGGGCTGCTAAGAAGGAATTTGATTTGAATACCAATTCTGTATTCAGCAAATGGAAAAACTCATTCAGACGATGTGAAATAAATCCTACAAGATTTTCTGCTACGGATGTCCTGACCTAGATAACTCAGCAGACAGACAGAATAGATAAAAAAGATCGATAGATACATAGATTTTGCCTTTTTTATTCTAAATCTTATTTTGTGAAATGGAATGGTTCTTTGGATGTCAATGGTTCCATTGATGCCATCATAGAACATTTAAGGCTGCATAAAAGATGATGATAGATAGATAGATAGATAGATAGATAGATAGATAGATAGATAGATAGATAGATAGATAGATAGATAGATAGATAGATAGATAGATAGATAGATAGATAGATAGATAGATAGATAGATAGATAGATAGATAGATAGATAGATAGCTACTATGTCCGTTTACTTTTGTCCCATAAAACAAATACTACAAGTCAATAAAACATACCCTTTGGCATATGCATTGATTTGTATGGACTTAGTTTCTCGTTCATGCAAACTCCTTTGCCGTAAAGCAGAGCGTGCAGCGGCTTTTCCTCCCCAATCCGAGGAAGGCATCGCAGTCCTCGTCCACATGTACCCGTGTAGACTCCACACGCCTGTCCCTCGATGAGCGCGCAGGTCAAGCAGCATCCGCAGCCGGGCTCTTTCACCACCTGACACCCGTTCCGCACCGGAGGACACATGGACATTGCTTTCTGGTCACACGGCTCACATGGCACGAACGACGCAGAAACGCCGGTTAGTCCCCATACAAATGCCACCAGAGCATACAAACTTAGCAGCATCGTCCTACTGTAGAACACCTATTTCACCAGCTTTGAAATGGCAAAACCGAAGATTTGTATCGTTTAAGGTTCCCGAGTACCAAAGTATATCGACCAAAAAGATATATAGCCTATGTATTGGTGTTTAAAAATGCAAATGATCAATCCTCTCACCACTTGACAGAATAATCCAAAGGTGCATTTAAGAACTAGTAATTAAGGCAATGTCCTGTGATGAAATGAGTTCAGCAGCTTTCGGGGAAAGAGCACAGATCTCAAAAATGCATATCAACACTTCAGGAGTATGTGCCGGTTCTGCATCAAGCGAACAGCGTTCAGTGAGAGCTGCTCTCAGTAGAAAGCCCTGCTCATGTTCACCGCGATAAAGGGAGGCGCAATGCACATTTAAAGGTACTGGTGCTTTTTGGGCGGATCCCGGAGTGATGCTGTGCATGAACGCAGGTTCAGATAAAGTGAAACAAGATAGCAAGAACATGTTGTGAGAGATAAAAGAAGTCTGCTACTTTAAAAATGACAACAGCAATGAAGACATTTCTCAGACCTAAAAAAAAAAAAAAAAAAAAAAAAACGTTGTCTTTAATTAAAAGGGGTAAGGCCTACATTAATTGTATTTTTGTTCAGAGTTAACTAAATTTAAGTAACGAGAGTTTCGATCATCAGGCTTCACGTTGTGTTACCCCTATTACATTGGTAGTAAGTTATTTTATAGCCATACTTAGGATGGGTTTCATGAGAAATTGCCTCAATTTTGTAAAATATAGATAAACCAAACAGTTTGGTTAAATATTTTAAAACAATTATTTACCACCTTTAACTTTAAGACACTTAATCCAATGTAATTTAGATTTGGTTATAATGAATAGGTAATCATGAATGAATAACAAACAAATGAATGAAAATCTACCCAAAGTCTCATAGTGCATGTTATATATAACCCTTGTTTATTTTTTCCTCAATTTCTGTTTAACAGAGAGCAGATTTTTTTCAACACATTTCTAAACATAATAGTTTTGATAACTTGTCTAATAACTGATTTATTTTATCATGGCGTGATGACATTAAATAATATTTTACTAGATATTTTTCAAGACACTTCTATACAGCTTAAATTTACTTTTAAAGGCTTAACTAGGTTAATTAGGTTAACTAGGCAGGTTAGGGTAACAAGGCAAGTTATTGTATAACGATGGTTTGTTTTGTAGACTATCGAAAAAAATTACTTAAAGGCGCTAATAATTTTGTTTTTAAAATGGTGTTTAAAAATTAATAACTACTTCTTCTTTTTTTAGCTAAAATAAAACAAATAAGACTTTCTCCAGAAGAAAAAAAAATTAGAAAAATGAAAATTTCCTGAATCTGTTAAACATAATTTGGGAAAAAAAAAAAAAAAAAAAAAAAAAAATATATATATATATATATATATATATATATATATATATATATATATATAGTACACTGTAGATTAGATTAGAGTTTTTATTTTAAGTCATTAAAATATTAAGTAAAAATCATGATCCATGAAGACATTATGTAACTTTCCTAGTGTAAATATATCTAAATTCTTGAACATTTTGTCTTGATTAGTACAATAAGAGTTTATTAAATCCATTAAAACTTTGTTTGGACAATTTTAAAGGAGATTTCCTCCACAAATCAAAATATATAAATTCCAGTCTCAATAGCTCACATTTTTCCAATTTTAACAATACACAGACCAATGACAATGTATTATAAAATTATTATTCAGCTTTCAAAATGTATGAATCTCAATTTGCAAAAACTGACACATGGGACTGTTTTTGTGGTCCATGGTCTCACATTTTTAAGCATTATATGGTTCTGAACCTGTAATGTATTGTTTTAAATTGTTTTTAAATCGGGACTGTCAACAAAGCAATTTTGAAACAGAAAGTAGAATTGATGTTGGTGGGCTGTTTATCCGGGGGATGAAGGTGATGAATCCTGGCATTGTGCAAATAATCATTCATTCAGATTTACCCAACTTTAGCATAGCAACAGTAAAGATAATAGAGATTTCGGCAATCAATAATTAGGTTATTTCCAATGTTTAAAAGTCACGTTCTGTCAAAAACAGTATTGGAAAGGGCAGAGCTAATGACCTTTATGGCTCTTAACTTTTGATGCTGATGACCTTTACTCTTAATTCCCTCAAATCTCTCATCTCATACATATGTTGCAAATAACTGGACAGCAGTGTGTCACCACTGAGGTCACTGCTCAACCCCAACCACACCCTGATGTTTTAACAAGGAACCTTATAACCTTCAATTCAGTTCATGCCACGTCTATTTTAAGAGGTCACATTTCCCCAAATGTAGCTGCTTTAAAACAAAGGTATCCATTCATGAGCAAACCTACAGGACATCTGTGATAGGACATAAGTCTCTCTGATGGCTAACAAAGAAAAAAGTGTGACCTTATTTCATGTTGAAACTTTATCTTATTTTGGATTTCTGACAGCAGTGAATGTCTATTGTATATACTTACACTTAAAAATGTCATCTGAAATGAAACTTTTTCAAAACTTCAGAACACATGTGCACCTTTTAATCAATGACATTAAACTTTAGTTACTGTACTAATATGTACCTTTAATGTACAAATGTGAAAATTTTAAAAGGTACCACCCCATTACCCATTTTATTTCTGAGAGTGAAATGACATTCAAAGCTCTAGTGAGATAGAGATGTTTGCAAGAAATATGGGGGTATGATTAATCTCACCTAAAACCAAAATGTCTTCCATAAATTATGTTATTGATGTATGATTTAGGTGATGAATGATTTCATATTCACCTAAGAAATAGGTCAGTGTGTGCACATTAGTCATGTCAATACTATAGACATTCATGTAGGTCAACAAGAGCATGGCTTACAGCGCTAACGTAATAGATTTATTTCCTTGGGAATGTATACTGCTAAAATATATAGCTAAGCTAAAAGTGTCTTCTAAATGCAACTAATGTTAAGGTCAATTGGAACCAAAGTGATGCTTAATGTAGAACAGTTTAGGAGCATACTGTATATGAATTTTAAGAACAATTGGTAAGACTGTCCTGGTTGATACCACTCAGGGAACAGGGAAGAAAACAAACTATACTAAATAGTCATATTATTAAGTATAATAATAATAATAAACAATCCAAACAATTGTGTAGTTCTGTAGCACTGGTTAAAATTCCCAGTTCCTCTAGTTACCAATTACATAAAGATTTTAACAAATTGCTTTGGAATATTCATGATGACAGGAGCTGTGGACTTGTGGACTTGTTGTGGAGGTATAAAGAATAATGTGTAATTCATACCTCAGTGAGTTATACTTCTTTAAGTTAGATTTAAGTTACATTTTTGCCATCTTATTTTGAGCTCATGTACTTCTACTCATGAAAACACACCCATACTAAAGACGAATACCCAGTGACTTCACTGACAGAACTTTTTCAGTGCTCACAGATGTTCAAGCAGCAGAAAAACAATGTCAGCCTCAGCAGCATGGAAATATTTCATTATCATAATTAATGACACCAGTGGTGCCTTATTTCTGTGCCACTTTGATGATACAAAGACCAAAGATCATTGACATGATTGTAATAATATGTTACTGTCATGTTAAAAGGTGCTGTATGTAAGTTTTTGACTCTTTTAAAGCATAGAAATACCATAACATGTTTGCAGATATTTAAGAAACATGCTAAGTGAACATTCTTGTTATTCCGCTTTAAAAATATGCATTATTTGCCGGAATGACTGTCTTTGTTTTGGTCCCTTTAACCTGCCCAATGCAAGTTTAGCCAATTATATTTCAGCACGCTGGGTTGCCTCGGTGGAAAACGGCATATTTAATTTATTTATTCAGTAAGGAAGCCTCCCAAAGTATGCGTCGATGACTGAAATATGAAATGTGGAGGATACTGGTTGAAGGTGAACTGTTTGTTGCTGCTTTCAGTAGTATGACAATAAATTTCATGTAAAATGGCATTCAAACTCACATTATTAGCATTCAACACTGAATAAAGCACATGAGGTGTACCTGAGGTGATCATTGTCAGTTTTCTATTGTTCAGCTACAAGAAATAGAAGCTGTTTCTAAAGTATAAATTTCAGGTATCTGGCACTGACACAGCCCCATACTATGGAAGACCCTGGCTTTTTGGAGTTGCTGCTGGTAACAATCTGGATGGCCTTTTTCTTCTTTGGTCTAGAGCACACAGTGTCCTTTTCTCTCAAAAAAATACCTGAATTACTGATTCATTTGACCACAGCCTCCATCTCAGATGCTTCCGAGCCCTGAGAAGTTGATGACACTTCTGGACACTGTTAACATAGAGCTTCCTTTAAGAAGTACAGTTTTAACTGGAAGTACAGATTTTACTGGTATTTGTAAATGTAACTATGTATTGTACTTGACAAATGTTTGCCCATGTGGTGATATCGCTTATAGATGAATAACAATTCTTGATGCAGTGCCCGCTAAAAGATTGGAAATTACAGCAGTTTAGCTTAAGCTTGCACCCTTGTCCTTTACGCATGGAAATTCCTCCAGATTTCTTGAATCTCTTATTTATGCTATATGCACTGTTGAAGTTGAAATATCCAAACGTTTCCCTATCTTTTTTGAGGAACATTGTTTTTAAACATTTTCATAATTTTCTCACATATTTGTTGTACACTAGCAGTCTTCGTCCCATCTTTGCTCCTAAAGGACTAGACCTTACCTGGATTTTGCTTTTGTACCAAATCATATTTACAATTTCCTTATCCCATGATTATTTAACTTTACCTGTTTACTAGCCCTAAATTGCTCCTATCTCAACTTTTTTGGAACGCGTTGCAGGCCTGAATGACAGGAAATTAAGTTGTTCAGATAAAACATGAAATATTTTGTGTTCATATTGTCTACAATGAAATTCAAATCAAAGTAAATTTGGAAATCACTACTTTCTTTCTTTCTTTTTTTTTTTTTTTTTTGGCGTTTTACATACTGTCCTTACTTTTTTTCTGATCTGAGGTTGTACTAAGAGTAATTTGATAAATACATAGGAAATAATTGACCATGGTCAATTTAAATTATTTTCTTATAATTTTTTAGACCATCAAGTTTTCTTCTTATATTATGGTTACCAAACATAAAAAAACACAGAAACAGAGAGATATTTGTCAGGCTACGTCCCCAAACAACTCCAGTGATACTAGCTTCTTATGTATCTCTTCCCAAGCCTTCTCATTTGTTTTGATTGAATTTTTTAAACATTGTAGGTTGTGAAATAACTGAAATC